ACCTTTGGATTACTAGCCTTCAAGGGAAACGCTTACACCAACAGGAACTTCTTTCTATTAAAATTAAAAACCACTAGATTTTGAAACAATACCAACATCTCTTTTGAACATATCAAATTTTAATATTTCAGGTTTACTAAATAGTCAGCTGTTGGTTTAAAGGTGTGTGTCCTTTGAGATGTCTGTATTTAATTTACCTGATATTAATTCCTATTAATCTCTGGAACATTAGCCATTGTCCTTAAAACATAAATAAATTACTCCATTTGAAATCTGACTGAAAAATTACTTTTTAGAGGTTTTAATTGCAAATGACAACAAAAAAAAAGGACCCTTTTTTTCCCAGAGCTGTGTCATAAAACTCTTCATTCCCACAGAACATACAAGTCCTCTACAATGCTTTCAGCTCTCCTTTAAGTATTATTCCATTAACCAGAAGCAGGTGCCAAAATTATTCACACTGACCACAACTGAATAGTGTCTGCTTCTTTCAGGATATCCACTAATTAAAAATTACCTGGAACAGGAAGCCTGTCCACTGCACAGGTGGTACAAGGGTATGGGCTACACTGAGGGAAAAACATATTCCTCTCAATGTTACCTGTTAGTAGTCAATTTTCCAGCCAGTGCAAACCAAGCCTTGCAAAATCTCAGCCCATTTTGTCTGTTTTAGTTATCACTAAAACACATACTATCTGTTTTTAAATACTTTGGGAGTTTATGCGTGTTCTTATCTACAGAGACTCACTTTGACATGGTAATCAAAACTGTATTTTATCTTCCTCAAACAATAGTAGCTACACCTCTTTTATCATAGCAGGATGTGGAAACTTTGGTTCATGTGTTTATTGCTCTTAGACAGGATTATTGCATTGTTTTATTAGTTGGATTTCCTGGCTGATTGAAAAAAATGAAAGCAGAGGCCAAGTGCCATAAGGCCCAGTTGTATGCAGACCCAGTTAAATTACCATTAGCAATACAGCTCAAAGCTAAACTTTTTAGAATCACAGATTAATTCCTGTAACACAAAGAGCTGTCAGCATAAGAGACTCTTCACGTTAAAATCTACTGTGTAATACATAGTGCCCTTCACCTTTGAAAGCCAGTGTATCTAATACTTAAAACTATCTGTCTGGAATCACCTGGGTCATGGCAGAGTGAGCTTCCAAGGACACACAGCTTGGTCACTCACACAGGACCCCAAACAACTGTGTCTTCCAGCTGGCAACTGGTATGTGCTATAAGGCCTAAATTCCACAGCTGACTGTACCATGACATATGCCACTTTGCCCAGATGGTCTTCTGAGTTGTTGTTTTTTTTTTTTTAATAGACTCTGGTCTTTACACACGAGGTTTTTAAGGAACTCATACATATAAATGCAAGCCAATTTATATAGAAAACATAAATACTATCAAAGGGTTTTATTATTTTATGTCAAAACAAGTTGCAAACTGTTACACTTGGAAAACATTTAAATTAAGACCAGATTGTGTTCACCAGCTGGATGAGGAGTACAATCACAAAAGAAATGTCTTTACAACTGTCTGAAGGAAGCAGGAAGAAAATAACAATGGTTTTGAGTGTTGCGCAATGTAGAATAGAGAAGGACTACAAAACAAGCAGCGTTTAATTAAAAACTGATGCAAAAGAAACTTTTATAAGGACCTAATTTTTTCCCCTAAATCTTGCTACATATAGCCAAAAATCGCTCTCCACAATTTTCTTACATCAGTGACTGTCATTAAGGCAGAACATCTTTCCTAGCTTGGAATCAGGCACTTCCAGCGAAAAATTTAGTCACTTAAGTCAGGCAGTAGTCTGACTGTCAGCTTAGGTGCACTGCAACTGCTCTCTCCTTCCTTTCAATCACAGGCAGTCCATGCTGCTCAGCCTAATGCAGGAACCTTGGTTAGATGCCTACTATAAGGCTGTATGAATACCCCTTCTTCCACGTATGGTCTTTGACTCTACCACAATAATGGAGTTGACTGAAAAAGAAAATAGAAACCTGCTTAACATGTATTAGTTTTCTGCAAGTTTTCTAACAAGATGCATCACAGGAAGATGCCTTTGTAATATAACATTTAAAAAGTAATGGCTTCAATGTTAGTGAGAAAACTAACGTTGCTGAAGTTGTGAGAAAACTAACGTTGCTGAAGTTGTGAGAAAACTAACGTTGCTGAAGTTGTAAGAAAACTAGCATCTATAGCTCATAAATAGAAAACATAAAACCACACTAAGAAAAAAGGCAGAAAAACACAGCTGATTTTTTAAGGTATGTCTGCTAGTTTCGATCAACTTTCACTGTATGTTTCTCTGTGTCTTAAGCATACTATGATTTGGTATCACTTAGTCACAGTCCATGCTTTTGATAGAATGTTTATAAGCGTCTTTGTACACTTCCCAGCAAATGTTGTTGAAAGGAGTTTATAAACCAAAGCAACAAGCTGTACAGAACAGACCAGATTTTCCATCTCTTCATAAGCAGCATAGCAAGAAAAACACATGTGTTAGTAATTGGAAGTGCAGACTAGCATGCAGACCTGGAATAAACTCTTTTCTTTTAAGTGGCACATCTTCAAAAGAAAAACCTCTTTTAATTCCTACAGTACCAAAAAAACTCAAAGGCAAGAGACAGATACATAGACCTCATTTGCTAAAAAGTTACAAAATTACAGCCAGAAGAGCAGCTTAAAACTTGGTATCCAGTTTCCATTTCTCCTGTGATGTCTGTAAAATGCTGGCACAATCACTTCTGGCTTAGAGGTCTGACTGCCAGACTAACAAATTCCTGACTTCAGTGTCTCAGCAGACCCAAGAAAGCAAGTTTAGCTGTACCACTGTCAGCATCACAGAAGAGCAGAAAGGCCCTTCCTTTTGGCCAAGATAATTTCAAAATACACTTGAGTCCTGGAAACTGTGTTCACAAGCATTTTTAACTGTCACACAAAGTATTCAGAGGCTACTGTATTCTGTTCAGATTATTGCAGTCTTGTAATTTCTGTGATGTCACAAGTTCTAGACTGAATTTTTTTAAATATTTTTAAAAATAGAATAGTGTCACATTTGGTGTGTACAAACAGGTGGACTGTGATGCTGAATTTAATAATATGGTGCTGAAAGTGCTATTCAGCTGTGCAAACAGATTTGTTCAGTCTTTCAAGAGTCACCAGAATGAGAAAAAGTTCATAAAAATGCTTTCTTGATTAAACAAATATGGACACTGTGGAAATTTTTACATATTATTTCTAGTGGGCTAAGAAATTCAGTCACAGAACTGAACCTCTATGCCAAGTACGGTATAAACACCTAACAAAGGTGCACTGAATTAAATACAGTCTGCATTTGATGTCACAGATTTTGAAGCCTGAGGAAATGCCCCTGCAGGGCACCTGAAGTCCCTATGAGAACAGATTCTTAATTAGGTGTATGCCTTTATTTCTAATACTTTGTATCTTGAGAAAGACCCTCCTCGAAAATTCTATATACAACTATTTCAGTACAGGGCTTCGCTCTGACTCACTTCTGCAGACAAACTGGAGGAAAAAGTTGCTGTACACTCTCCTGATTTACGGTATCGCCCTTGTTTTTTAATTCAAGGGAATGTAACAGATGTCAGCATCAGCTGATGTGCTGGTATGAATAAAAAAGAACCACTGTCCTACTGTCCTATTCTTACCTCTTGGCCATTTCAGAATTGCCATGAACAGGCTGACCTAAATGCAGCTGTGGCTTGAAGTAACACATACAGAGCAACTGTCGTTTTTAATATGCAGTGTGGCACCCCCCTGACCTTCTGCATTTTACTCAGGTTTCTTCTTCACGTATCCATTCTTATGATGCAATTTGCTACTGTCCATTAAATCACATAACATAATCACCACCTTTCACTGAATGTATTCAAGCAGGACAGTTGTCGAGAGAAAGGTGGAAGAAAGAACTGAAATTAGTTACCTCAGGGGACAGCCAAGGTGTTTATTATGCATTTAAGACAAAAGTAAGTATCTACATGGCATTACTGCTGCTGGTGACCATCGGCAGCCAAATGTTTACCATTTTCTTAGTATGTGAAGAGACAGCCCCGCTGAACCACACTGCAAATGAATAATCATGAAACTATGAGACCAGCCTACCAAAAATTAACCTGACCAAGAATCTGGTCTGTGTTTTTAAGACTACCTATTTGATATGGTTTTGTGATCTTGAACCTGTAAGCTGACCTATCTGTTCCTCATTTTCTTCAGTGGTAGAGAAATTAAAGCTGCAGAAGTGAAATATTATGGATTTTTTGTTAATACTCAAATTTACATGAAAATGTTTTCTTCCATTTACACCCTCTCTTTAAAATTTTCATGGCTTTATTTTCACTAAGGCTCATACCTAGCAAAATCAGAGGAACATAAGTTGATGCCTAAATTTAAGCTTGAAGTGCTTAACAGGAACAGCAATGAAACTACAGCATTTATAGAAAGTCTTTAGGTATAGAGTTTGTAATATTTTGCAAGTAGCTTCTAGAGCAGAACCTAACTATGCAACCCCTTTCCCCTCACCCCAAACAAACAAACAAGCAAGCAAGCAAATGAGCTGCAACCAGTGACCTGAAATAAACGTGGGAAACACGGCAGACATTATCTAACAGCACTTTGCACAGTAAGCTCTGAAAATCATGCAGTGAGCTTGCAGAGGGTTTTTACCACCTGTGAATCAAAAAGCACAAGAACAGCTTATTTTTCTATGTTCAATACTACATCAGAAATTTGTCAGAGGCTCTAAAAATGCATGAGAACTTAGGAAACCACCTCAAACAGTACAAATTCACTTGCTGCCAACTCTACAGAGGGAAAAATAAGAAAAGGAGTGGAGAACATACTGCTAGGCCTGAGAGCAGAATCAGAGCTACCCTTCTTGAAGCAGAATTTACTTTGGCAAATAAATTAGTCAAAGGTGTCCCTCCTCTCTCGGTTGTATTTTCACCGCAGAGATGACATCCAGTACTCACCGAGATTAGGCTGCGACATTGCCATTGACCTCTGTGGCACTGGTGTGGAAGTAGCTGTGGGATGGTGGCTCATGTGATTCAGTGGCTGGTTCATAGTTTTTCGAGGATCTTGCCATGTTGTAATTTTTTCTATATGGCTGAGAAAGAAAAGATAGAACACAAACTTAGCACAAAATACCTGAGTATATTATATACATGGTTAGGCACAATGTCATTAAAGTCCTGTTTGCTCTTCTTATCCCACGTTTTTCTACCCTTATGATATCATCCTAACCCACTTGAAATTATTTATCGTCTTGTAATTTAATTTTTCTTCTGATCTTCTGCCCCTGCCATTCTAACTTTTAATGCACCACTCTTTAATAATTACTTTTATTTGAACAATTGGTGAATCCTATTATGATACTGAAAATCTGTAATGCACACTCATCTTTCACATTATTTAATTGTCCCAAATTGTTGGGTCTTGTCCTACCAGTCTTTTTCTACATGCTCAACTCTTGAACAACATGGCAGCTCTTCATTCAGCAATGTAGGGTCATTTTGCTAAGTTTTGAAAAGACAAGTGTTTGTATTGCCAAATCCAACTGCTTTGCTCCTCACCACAGCATGAAAATTAGTCTGTATGTATGTCTCCGAGAATAACAGAATATACTCATTACCAAAAGGGGCAGATTATGTCCTCATGTCTCATGTGTATGTATGTATATATATATATAGCCATATCCCCAAGCATCACATCTACACATTTTTTAAATACATCCAGGGATGGTAAATCTACCACCTCCCTGGGCAGCATGATCCAATGCCTGACAACCCTTTCAGTGAAACAGTTCTTCCTAATGTCCAGTCTAAACCTTCCCTGCTGCAGCTTGAGACTGTTCCTTCCTGTTCTATCACTAGTTACTTGTGAGAAGAGCAGGCTAATGCCTACCTCTCTACAACATCCTTTCAGGTAGTTGTAGATCAACAATGTTTCTACCACTCTCATATGTAATCCTTCATGTACCTATATTACGCTGAAAACAGTGGAGCTTAAAGTCACATGAGATTTTACAGTGAGATAACTACAAAGCATGATCTCTGAAAAATATTTTTTGACACAGAATACAGCGTTGAAGGAACTGTGTGGCTTTGTTGCAACTAAAGATTTTCACTGAAATAAATACATCAGTTTTGAAAGAAACAGGAGAAGGATTTTAAGGATCAGCATATAATTCTATTTGAAAAGAAAAAGGAAGTATTTTAAATCAATCAATAGTCTGGTATCCATCTATGGATTGCTTGGTTCCACATCCAGCTTCTGTTCAACTGACTAACTTATGCTACTGATTACTGGCAGGACTTGGATGGGTTTTCCTCCATTAATTTTTTGATAGAAAACTTTAAAAGAGCTAAGTCTTTAAGAAGGACATGTAAAGAAGGATAAAAATTCAAATATTCTGTGTCTGGAAAACCATTCCAATACAGTTTTCACAAAAGCACAGTGTAACATCATCTTTACTGAACTGCATCCCAAACTCATTGTTGCCATTACTGCTGTGACCATTCCACACCTCCTGAATCAGCTGATCACCAGGACTATTCCACAAGCAAGTTTCCATCTACTGTGATTTTACCATGTCCAAACTCCTTATATTGACTCTGATATTACCAAAAATAATATGAATTACAAGCAGGAAAAAAAAAAACAACCTGAACCATTTTTTTAAAGAACAGAAAAAAAGCGATGCTGTCTTAATTTAGTTCGTAGCCATTTCCTTTTCCTAATATTTTCATATACAGTTCCGAAACTGTAGCAGAAGATCACATCTACACTTCAATGCTTGTCTAAAACTGTGTTGAACCTGTTGAGGCACCACCTTTCTTCACAGCTTCATGAATGTTTGTTTGCTATAATTCACAGTGAAACCACCTACCATTGCTTCTTGCTAGCATTAAAACACTTTATTCTCCCCTCATTGTAAACTTTTATTATATTTTACCTTTTCTTCTTTTTACTCTTATTTTTTCAAGTATAAGAACTCTTCCGTCCATGTCAGTTAAATTATTTTTGTCCTAAATCAAGAAATGGCAAAAAACCTGAAGAAATGCATAATCTAGAATCAATAAAGAAGGAAATATTTTCTAAGTTAATATCTTTTTACGATGTGCCTTTATCGTCTTGCAGATTTTCTCCTTTTTCACTTGAAATAAGAGTTGCAAATTAAAAATATTCAGCCAAGTTTCAATAAATTCATGAAACCTCTTCTCACATGAAAGTCGTCATGAAAAAAAGATAGAAATGGTCTGCAAATTGCTATGCAAAGCAACCGGTCATACAACTACAGCTGAAAACTAATACTGCTTTTGTTCAAAATCCCTTTTATCCTTTTTATAGAAAAAACAACCTGTATTTTAATGACATGTGAGAAGTAGGGCAATGACAAACATTTATCCATGCTTCTTAACTTAAGGAAGAACTGAAAAATTCATCAAAAATTGTAGGGATCATAACTCTTAAAGATCCCAACTGCACTCAAAACAAAACAAAACTAACCACAGGAATTTTCTGTGTAAACATGATAACTCCTCAGCAGCCATAGCCGGGATCCACAAGTGGCCTCACTTACCCTTCCTGGTGCCATCTCAGCAGTGTACAACATATTTTCTTCATTAAAAAACATGCAGACACAATGTCTGAAACAGAACCCTCAAGTATGGCATTGATATTATGATTCAAGATCAAGTAACAGCTGGCTGTTACTAGGATTTACTACTATGACCACTAAACTGATTTGGTTTTACACAGTAATTAAAGAAAAGGCTGTTAAACATTAGACAATGTGCATTTAACAACTTTAGACAGCAGAACTGCACACCCAACAATTCCCAAAAAACAAACTAAGATTCTAAAATAAAGGGCTTCATTTCATGCCAGAGAAGTCTCCCTGCACCACAATTACCGTTGTTTACATGCATCCCCCCCTTTATTTCCACATAGGTTATTGAAAAGGTTATGTTAAACCTTTGCAGAAACAGATATTGGTTCATTCCACTTGAAATGTACCAGACTTATGCTGGGATAACAGATTTCAGCCCACTATCTTTTTGTTTGTACAGGAGAATAAAAGAAAATATAGCAGTGACAGAAAGACTAAAATTAGCTTTTTTCAGATTCTTACAGCTTCCTAGGTATCAGAATGGACAAAATTCAGTTCAGAACAGCCTCTTCTTTCTTGAAAGTCAGTAGGTAAAACATTAAATATGACAGGTGGATTTCAAACACTAAAATGCATGATACTGTCCTAAAATTCAGGACCTTGATCATTAAAATCTATTCAAAGGCAGTTATCAGTCCACAGTCAGCAAATGACAAGTGGCTTCCATCCCTAATCCTGTTACAAAGGCTCACTAACACACGCTGTCGAGCAGCCACATTGGAGTCCGTCACGATGAGCATCTAGCTCTGGACTGTCCATAGGACTGGGTGTTTTAAAAGGTATGATACAGTCCCATGTTAGAATAAGTCAGACTGAAGCTGTGATTTCATGACTGCATAAGGACAACCCAAGTCCGTACTGCTGCTGAGAGAGGAAGTCCCATGTCCCTAGCTGTCGGTTCCCAACCCTTTTCTGGGCTGACAGTAATGACCCCACAGTCTGACAGATCAGGGTAAGCAAACCCTTTATGGCAAATACTAATTTCTTACTCTTTCTGGTTTGCCAACACTGTTTTTGCCAGACTCTCACCCACCAGCTGTATGGCTGCATGAGGAAGGGAGAGGCAATTCAGAGCCTTAGTGCTGGAAAAGCTGCATTTCCGATTGTGACACCACCTCCTTTTACCACCGTTTATTTCAACCCTGGAGGAAAACTATTTTGCTCATATGTATGAAATTTCATTGTAATGAGGACCATTTATTCAGCTCTGAAATATGTACCTGTACACAAAAAAGAAAAACACTACAGAGAAAACCCCTAAATATCCTCATCTTGGATGGTATCAAACCACTGTTTTGTTATTTCCAAAACTACTAATCCCAGGACTTGTTTCTTGGCATACATCATATAGCCTACAACAAGGAGACAGAATACAAAGCTTCAGGCAAAGGCAAGTAACACAGGCTAGTAATCTTGCCTTCACTGCTAAACTGTAGTACATGGGTGACCTTGCTTGGAGGACAGTAAAATTTTTACTCCTCCCACTGTCTGAGCTTTACAATGGTACTGGACCAAGATTAAACATTTGACTTCCAGGATCACTGAGACATCCCTAGCTATCACTGCATTACATCCCTAAGGCACTGACCTGAATTCTAGTTTTACCCACTTTACCAATGGAATCATATCATTATAAATGATGTTACACAGTTAACTCTGGTGTAGCAGCATCTATACAGAAAGATAACCTGTTGCACTACATCTGCCTAAATTAATAATAAATACAACAAAACAACTTTTCTTTCATTCAGTCCTATGAGCTATATTCTGCTCCTGTCAGTTTTAAGAAGTTTCCACCTCCCTTAAGAAAAAAAATAATTTTTCTATAATTGCTATTTATGGTATTCATTTTTGCATAATTTTCTGCAAATGAGAATAACTTTTTCACCTCTAAAAGTTTTTCATAAAACAGCTACAAAGTTATGAAAATAATATGAATAAAATATGATTATTGCATTCTAATACACTTTCTGTATCAGACATTACTATATTGATTGCTCAACAAAAGATGAAGCTGAAACTCAGCATCAGAAGAATTTTGAAAAAGACTAATTTTATGAGTGCTCTAAATCTCTAATTATTTGCTGCTCTACTACACTCTGCTATTATTGCATATCTGTTATGACCTCTTTTATTGCATGCCATTTTCTGTTCATTATCTGCACACACTATCCAAAGAGACGGCAAATTACTGAAACAGATCTTAGCCACAAACTTTGCAGGTGTGCCTCCATTACATGTGCATAAATCCAAAGAGAAGTAGCCCCAAACTTTAAAGATATCTTGCCTAATCTATAACACTGAAGTAGAGAGAACTGCTACGTCACAAACTTTTAAGGCTTGTTTTTATAAGATTCTAATTTGAGGAATATTCAAACACATTACAAAGTAGCCTGAAAATACATGTTCAAACTCTCATTTTCAAGTTATGAAGGATCAGTCCCTGCATTTCTTATTATTACAAATTCTAATATCAGAGCAGTCTATTTATTTCTCAACAAGGTCTTCATTGATAAATAAGCAGGGTAAAAAAGAAGAAAGTTCATTTTAGCTTCTATTTCTGCATCAGAGATGAGATTGACGGGGGGTCTTTGTAGGCAAGCAGGAAGTTTCAGTGCTCCTAGTGAAATCAGGGCAAGTATAATATTTACAACTCATATGAGATTCATGAAGTATCTGTGTAATATGACACGGAACACGCCACTATAAATGTCACTCCCAGGCTGCCCAGATCATGGCACTTACATTGATAAAGTTCTACCATGTAGAAACTCAGTAAGTGGTTAAAATGTATCCTAATGGTAGACACTCATCAGAGAAAAATTAAAGCAAAGTTGGGATCTAAACAACTCAGTATTTTACAAGGATTTTTTGATTCTATTCCACCTGTTGTACCTTAGCCTTTTGCTAAATGCTTCCTGTTAAGTGTCTGTTTCCCACTTTGAAATGTCAGTGTTCTTCCAGAACTTGTGCTGCTCCTGTGTGCTGCATTTTTTAACTGCTAGGCTCTAATCCCTGACTTCCACTGCAGTCTTTCCAAGACAACTCAGATAGTTTAAATTAGCAAGCAGCAGCACAAAGCACACTAATTCTCTTTCTGCTTGTATGAACTCCAACGACAAACAGATCCCAGTGGATTCTATTTTCAGACCTTGGTTTTTTGTTTTTGTTTTTGTTTTTTTGTTTGTTTGTTTTTGTTTTGTTTTGTTTTGTTTTGTTTTTGTTTTTTGTTTTTTTGTTTTGTTTTGTTTTTTCCCCTTAGTATTAAGAAATTCAGACCTACTTATCTAAAAAGGTCTAGGGGGAATGGAGGAGAAAAAACGTATTTGAAACACATTATTGCCTTAGCTAACTCTCACCTGAAATAACACAAACTTGGAGTTTGGCTAACACTGTAGTACTTGTATGGGGTCCTCCATCAGGGCTTTGTCATATGGACTTGAGAGAGTGGATTTTGTGACTCACACACATCAAAGCAAAGTTGCTTCAGGGCAAGCAGGAAGCTGATGACTCAACAGCACCAAGAGCCCTCACCTTCTGATTCATTAACTGCTCCAAACAGGGCCACAGCTCCCACTGCCCTGGAGTACATCCAGCCATCCCCTTCCGGCTGCACCACCATTGCCAAACATTGGGAAATCTGTCTACATCTCTGTGAGCCAGCAGAGCCAAATCCTTGCCCAACTCTTCTCTCTGTCCCTTGTAAACAGACATGGAAGATTGTCTCAAGAGACTCTGCTCACAGTGCTTTGACAATGTGTGACGTGGCAGATATACTTTTATACAGATGGAAAGTTTTTCAGACTTAAGAAAATGATCTTGGGGCCACAATGTCCCCCAGTCTATTGTGCGATCTTGCCCATGGTACTGCAGCGCAATTTCTGGTAAAACTACAGCCAGAGCAAAGCCACACAGTGTTTCAGCAACCACTACCATGCAGAATCTAGCAGCAAAAGAGAAATTTTGTGTAAGCTGTTAGTGCCTTAGAAACTTACTTTAAAAGATGCTGGTACAAAACATCTATTGACAGAAACCAGACATGCTCCCAGTAACTACAGGACCAGCTTCCCCTTCCTGCCCCGACGGTGGCCTCATCCACACTTTAAAGTGGGCTCCCCCTCACAAGGTGAGGTGGCTTTTCTCCTCTGAGTAGGGGCCAGGGTCTCTTCCAAGGAAACTTCATTAGAAGTGTAAGCTTATAATAATTTTTTATCCAAAACAGTATTTTTAACTCACAAATGAGTAGTTTTAAATGCTTGCCAACAGCAGTTATGTTTACCAGCATGTTTAGAAACCTCCAAACCCGCTGTTCACTACGGAAACACCAACAGCTCCCTAAGGATCACAGCAGCAGCAGTGCTGCTGTAATACCACCATGAATGTCTTGCCTTAGAGTGTTCAGCTTGATCAAGAGTGGGTCCAGGAATCTCTGAAGGGAGGAAAGAGGATCAAGGAAATTCTATAATTAAGCGATATTTTACAGCACCTCATGGGAGCTGGGGGTGGACTGGCTGGAGGTCCACAACTAGCAGAATTCTTCCTCACTAGACCACACGCAGCCTGTTTCCCTCAGCACTGTCCCTGCCCCACGTCTTACCAAGTTCATCTTGCACCAACACCTGTTGTCTCTGCAGACCTGGGGATGCACTGCAGTTATTGCTGTCATCTTTCTAATCTTGAAAGGGGGAGACATTTATTGTTCAATAAAAAAAGTAAATTAGAAACATTTTAGATTGTCTCTAGTAAGAAACTTTTAAACGCTGTGTGCTCCCTTGGATATTAGGAGAGAATCTGTTAATGCTTCTTTGTAAGAATCCTCCATTAAGTACTCTTCTTAATTATTAACAGAGTACTAATGGGTTAATTAATTCTCAACTTCAAGTAGCTTTAGTTTCAACAGATGAACCTTTAGCATTGGATACACAATAATTTATATATAAAATTTTAAAAAAATTTTCTTTGCAGATTGTCTTTGCCATGGCCATTATATGCGCAAAAGAAGGGCAGGATGTGGTTCAATTACTGTATGAGAACACATGGTTCTGCCTGTAGCATGCCGTTGGTTTCCTCTTCTTTTGCCATGCTTCTTTTCCTCATCTCTCACCCCAGGCTGGAAAATTTCAAGAATCAAGTTCTGCCTTTCATCACAACATGAAAAGGCTTTACAGAAACTACAGCCCCATGTCCTAACATCATGCACCCACCTGTGCATTTGAGGACTGTAACACGTTAAGCAACAGTCCCCACAACATGCAAACTACCTTCTAAACATGTCAGAGATGGCCACTTCTCTTAAAAATGGAAAGCCTGAGGATCATGCAATAATTTCAGTAGGACAGCCGAATTTCTATGGTTTCCCACTTGTTTACAGCTCTGTTAAATGCTAACTTAAGTGGAAATGGGACTGAGTTAAATTATGATCTGAATCACATCTTATTAAAGACAATGAGCTTCACTCTGGTATGACCCCACACAGAACACGTTTGGAGAAAAATCTTTATTGGCATAGACAGTTTACACGCCAGACTGTGCAGACAAAGCATCAGTTTCATTAGGTTTGCAGTTGTCTTAGCCCTTTCTTTTAGTGTATATTTACATTACACATAAAAAAAGGAATGTGGAAAGTCTAATACAATGAACCAAAATAGCATACTCAGTGTTAGCTTCTTTTGGTCCTCTCACAGTTGTGCACTGTGATACCATTGTTAATTATCTAATCACACACTATTTTTCCAGAGAGGGCCTGCTTTACTTACTGCGTGCCTTTGACTACTTAAAAGCTCAGTTACTGATGTGCTATTTAGTGTTTTCTTTATCTACATGCAGCTTCATCTCATATTTACCGAAAAAATCTCAAACTTTCTAGTGACACATGCAATAAACTGCTTTTAAAAGATAATGAGTAAATCAGCACAGTGCAACTTTAGAGATTTCCATTCAGTTTAGCAAGGCTGTCTCCATTTTACAGATCAGGAATATAATGTATTTAGAAGTATCTGGTAATTTCAGCAAGCACTCTGAAACATCTAGGCCCTGACCTCACAAAATGGGTATCACTTTTGTGTTCAAAACACTAGATGCTGTCCAGTGACTTCAGTTATCACTGTGAGCTCCTGGCAGATTCAGACATCAGGGCGGGGCACAATTAGTGAATGTTGGAGGGTTCTTTGTCTCGAACACACACTTTCATGCAGTTAATGGAGATAAAAATCAATTTTCATAGAACAAGCACTAAAACAGATGAACAGAACACGAAGGAGTAGAGTCTTTCTTTAGGCTATCTTGTGAAGACACAATAATTCACAATAATATTTTTAACAAATAATGGTTAAAAACGTCATTGCCCACAGACAATATTTACCTCATCCTTCTCTTGTAGCTTTATCACCTATAATAACAACCACACTGAAGATGAATACTATCTGCAGAACAGGTATTAGTCCGTTAGTCTGACATTTTCTAACATCATATAAAGAAAAGTTGATAGGTCTAGTTCTCTTCCAGGTTCTCAGAACATAATAACATTCTTCTTTTTCTCATACACAAGTGGAATGTACATTTATATTTAGATAGATCCCATCTCCTCTAATACGGTATGTGAGAAATAATGAGTTCTTTTAAAAAATAGAGTGATGGTACTACACAAGAGCCTAGATAGGATGAGTTAGACCACTGGCATGTGAATGGTTGGCTAAGTACAGACACAGAGCACTTGTTTGGCACTGGCCTATGTCCAGGGCCATGCTGCAGGCAAAAGGTACAGAGAGATGGTGAACTTGGATAAGATTCTCCTCTCATGGGATAATACTTCGAGGTAGGAAAATCAGACAGTTGCAGCATGTTCCCTGCTATTTAGCATAAGTGACCTTACTAACACTGATGCTCCTTGATGTTTCCAAGCATCTGGGACACACTATGGGACACTTGAGCTGTTGCAAATAGGAACCGGATTATAAGTCTGTTGTATTTTTCTGTGGTTCTAAATCACAAGCAATACATCGGACAGTTTAAGGTCGCAATTCAATCCTGGCAGATTGCATCAAAAAACAACAAGCAGGTAGCCTGCCCCTGGCTAGCAGAGTATCTCTGTGGTTCCATGGGCACAGCGCTGCTGAAAGGGGTGGCCTGGGGCACGGCATACTCTCATCACTTTCCAATAGCCATGTGATGGAAGGTGAAATGAATGAACACCTTGGTCAACTTGTTGAACCTATGGAAGGAAATGCTGCTTATGATTTTCAGTTAGATTAACAGATTGATCTGACTGACCCTGCTGTTCCATCTCTGCCAGTCAAATAACAAAGAGAAAAGGTTTGGAAAGAGGAGAGCAAGGCCAGGCCACTCCTTTCAGCAGCACCCTGCAACCAGAATTGCTTAAACTGTGAGATGGCTGGGTTTGTTTTCAGGCTATTTCATATTCAGGTGTGGTGTACTCATTTCTGACAGAGGAGAGATGAATGGGAAAGGTGAATGGAAATCTACAGTGATATTTTCATTTCATACCAAAAATAGACATCAATGACACATTTACTAGGTTTTCAACATGAGGAACTTTCACAACTTCCCTGTCCTAAATGGAAGATATTTGCCTATTCTTAGTGCACTCTCAAAGCACTCAGTGGCATTTGAGTAAGCCAGAGAAGCCTGTCCATGTTTACAGCTGCTGCAAAGCACTCCGGGTGGCCCCTATGACATCCCTGAAACAACTGGTGGTAGGCAGCCAGAACAGCTGCTAAGTATTATTTTCTAGCTTCAGCATTCTAATTATCTGCTGACATTACTCACTGTTAACCAGGAAAGCAAAAAAGTGTGCCTTATTCAAGCCCAAAATGGAAATAATATTTTGGAAAAGTTCGTGCACACAGTATACACAAATGCAGAGAAATCATCTGTTAGGGCAAAGTGCTTAAAGTTACATGCTATTGATTTCATTTATACTGTTCACTTCAACAGTTGTAAAGAAGCAGATTTTATCACCCATTGTATCACTAAAAGCCCACAGGCATAAAACCCAGTCTCCCTTACCCAATTCTCCTTTGAATGTGCAGAAATTAATAACTAACATTCAATAATTCAACTATTCATTACCGTAGGAGGTTCCAGTGATGGTCCACAGTATTTTAACCTGCAGGGTTAGCTAAATAAAATTCATGGCACTTGCCTTTTTCAGACACTGATAATATTTCATGAAAATTTCATGAAGCTTTAACAAGGAAATACAATGTAATTATTAAACTGATGTAAGCATAGACTTTGCTCTCCTACTGCATGTTCAATGTAATTTCTAATCTCAAAGCTGGAACATTACATAAGTATTTGAATATTTATTATTCTGTGCTAAGTACTAATTAAAATAACTTCTTCAGTGAAAAAGACTTCGTCTTTTCCTGTATTAGCTTCAGCACCATTTGCTACTGTGAAGAGAACTTTAAGAATGTCCGACTAAGCTTCCCTGTAACTGACTGATTCCATTGTTGGTATAGGCTGATGACTTAAAAAACATTAAACTAGTTATACAAATGGAAACAAAACACCCTTTGAGCTCCACTGACAACTTAACCTTTAGAATTTGGATGAAATCCCAATTCTTGAGAGAAAGAAAAAAAAGGTACTGAATGAAACTATTATATAGAACATTCTTATGGGATTTTTTAATGTACACTGTAAATAATGGCATTAATGCTTTTGTTTACTAGAGTGCCTACAGCATTCATATTTAAAGAGACATATTAATGATCCTGTTAAAACCATGTTTATTTTATTCTGGGGGAAAATGTAATAATCTAGAGACAAAATATGTCCTTCTGAGACATACATGACATTTTCAGATTAATGAAGTTACAGAAATTGTTAAACGGGTTACAGGGTGAAAAATAATTAACTGCCCTCCACTTCAGCTAGAGAGCTCCATCAGGTTTTGCTATTAATGCCTCTAG